TACGTCAATGTTCTAAAATTTTTTGTCTTTCGTGAATGCCTTGTTTTAAGTATAGTTTCTTTAAAGATTAATAGTTGAGATATCATTTTTGTAATAAAATAATTCATTTGACAACATTCTTTCACAAAACCTGAGAAACACTCAAATTAAAATTATTAGAAACAATATTTCGTAGAAACATGCCTAAATCTCAAAACATAATTCTTTAGTTCAAGAAACCTAAAAAAAAAATTGTATTATAGAGTTATTATAGATATTTACCGATATACAGGATGTATATAGAGCAGCACAATCATAAACGACTTTTAAGTAAAAACTTTTAATAATTCAAAAACAAATAATCTATTATGCTATAAAAATGTATATTTTATGAAAATTATATTTTTCTAAAAATTTCTGATGCTGATCTTTCGTTTAATAGTAAATTTTTATCTCACAAGCAGTTTTCCTAATAGTGAATCCCAAATAAATGTATGTACCTGAATGGTTTGGACAAAATCATATCTGACTTGATTGAGAAATAAATGGAAAAATTATTTAAAAAAATATAATGTTTTTATAATGTTATTATAATAAACACAATCATTTTTCAACTTTGTTTCAAAAGAAGAAAATTAATTTTAATTATGTCTACATTTAATAGGTAATAGGTATTGAAATAAAATATTTTACTTGAAATGTCCTAAGAGTAAAGCCCAAAAAAAAAAAATGTAACTCATACGCACTGTGTGCATTTTATGTTATGAGAAGTGAGTTTTCTCAGTAAATATTCAATGTAACCCCAAAATAAAATTCAAATGTTAACATTTTTTTATTATTTCATTAAGATTTTTGCTTGAAATATTTGATGTCGAAGTCGGTTAGTACACTTGCCCAGAATTGAGCAGTGTTTCTCTGAATATATTTATTTTATTTGAAATAAAATTCAATGATATCTACCGGTTCAGCTTTTCTGACCTATTTTATAAGGAGTGATATCCCACATACCTCTATAAAGAATTCTAAAAGGCCAGTCTAACATAATTAACAGAAAAAATAAATGTTGTAGATATGTTTTAATTCTGTTAACATAAATGTTTTTAGAATATTATAATCTAATAGACAATAAATTTTTTTTTTTGTTGCAAAAGTGAACAATGTTAAATCGAAAATTACTTCTTATAGTAAAATTTATTCACTATTAACTAACTTTATATTCATAAATTATTGTAAAAGCTTTGATGAATTTTGAATGAAAATAATTTTTTATTGAAAACTAAATTAAGTTATTACTACAATTTGCTTAATACTTTTGTGGACCATTTTTCGTTAAAGTACTATTAATGTACATATTTATATTAATGTTTGTTATCTGTCATGAAATGATTCTGATATACGCAAATTTTTGAATAATTGAATATTTGTGTACAAAGTTTTAGATAAGAGTTATAAAGATATCTAAATAATATATTTAAATTAATTGATTCAAACAAATATTTGTTTAAAATTTCAGTAACAAAATATAATTTAGTAAATATTTCTTTAGAAGATGAAGGGAACCCCTCTGATATGAGTGACACGATTGGAGAATAAATTATAAAATTATCACTCAATATCTAAACAGATTTATCAGCGTGCCAACACTAAATATAATTTAAATTTATTATAGCTCGAATAAACAATATTAAGGTTCTCTTGATTTAAAAAATATTTATTAAATATACTCATACTATAATAACACATAAAATTAAAAAATAATTGAAAATTTGAGTAAGTATCTGAGTCATTTAGAATTTTACAATTTTATAATTGGCATTATTTATTTTCGTAAAATTGAATTGATTTATTAACTTGTTTTAATAATTAAGTTTAGTAGATACAGTTCAATACTTCCGAATCAAAATGTATGTCTTCAGGTTTATATCAGGAAAGAATTATCAATTGTAGAATAAGCAATTAAAATGTAGGAAATCCGTCATCGACAACAGTGTTCTATCAGGCTGCAGATTTAAAAATGATTTAAAAGGTTATACTTCCGCTTATACCAGAAAAAGTGATTAGCTACTAAAAGCTAACTAATTTTTATCTAACAAATTGTCTGCGAAAAAAAAGAGTTTACGTTTAATAATCAAAAAGAAAAGTTTATGAAGTATATCCAGTATATTCAAACCAACAAAATTTTATACATTTTGGTAGATCCTGGTAAAATAAATTAATTTGTTTATTTTTGAGTGATATTGTTTAGACTCTCTTCTCATAATAATTTTTTTTCTTAATTTTTATTTAATTACAAAAATATTAATTTCATCATTGCCATTGTTTTAATATACTTTGCTTAAAAAATCTTATTAATAATTGCTTTCTAATTTAACAATATGGAAAATGCTTATATAAATCAGATCTTATTTTTTCTAGATTTGCAAGTATGGTGAGTGAAAACGATAAAATAAAATAAATCCTGTAATCATATCGAAATCGGAAACGCTTCTTTTGCAACGAATATTGAATAAAGTACGTTCAACTTAAATTTGTACATGTCCTTCTATTTAAATAATTTATTTTATTTTTTGAAGGCTTTCAACAATTTTGATTTAAAATAAAATCGAATTTAATCGAAAAATTTAGTGAATAGTAAATTAATAATGATTCGAAAGCTATAATTTGTTATCCATGTTAATATAATATGTTTTTAACAGAATTATGTTAAACCAATGTTAATATAAAGCAGTATGATACCATTTGTAATTTTAAGTTGCAGAGATCAATATCACAATGTTTTTAACATTTTATTTTAATATAAATAAAGAACTTGTGATTCAAGTATAGAATTTTATCGGTGCAGATTTCGGTACATATGTATATAAATTACATATTAAGTTACGTGCTCGTAAAAATGTATTTGGGTCTTTTGGCCCATTGTGTTACAGATGACATATAACCTGAATATTCGAAAACAACCCTGTTTTAAATATACTAGTTACTATACTTTGTTTACTAAGCACTTAGAATGAAAAGAATAAAACACATAGCACTTATTAAATCGATATATATAAAATTTATATATGAAGCTTCGTTTAGACTTTGTGTAATCATTTTCAATATTAAAATTAGAGGAAAAAGAATTGCCTTTTCAACTAACTATGGAAAGTCTGAAAATACTTGTACCAAAATTATTATTTTACTTTAGATTAAAACAATGGATCATTTTTTCTTTCACACCAGCTGGAGACAGAGCAAGTTTCTTAGGCAAATATGATTCGAACACCTTCCTGAAAATATGTATTAAGACACATTAAGATGAATGGTTCGAAATAGTGTCATATATAATAACTGTTAGTATTTCATGTTAAGCAATAGATTTGTAAAGTCAAAAAGAGTAGATCAACTCTTGCAACTGAGTGTTGTAAAAAACTATTCTAACCTGGATCTTATTGTTATTAAAATCCAATGGTGTAGATTAAATCAAATCATTTTATTTTAGATGAAATCGTATAAACTTTTGAATGATATATTGCATTACATGAAATAAAAATATATACAAATGTATATTGGGAAACTCTTTCACAAAAATTATTCTTACAGTTTAACGACATTCTTATTTAACTAAAGATACTTTATTAAAATATTACATTTCAAAAGTATTAAAATTTTATATTATTTGTATTAAAATTTTATAGTACCCTAATGATGACTATAAATTATAGACGAAATATCGGCTAAAATAAAATTCTTCACAAAAAAAAATTTTTTTTTTAAATAGTTTTTTTTATTTTTTAAAAATATTGTTTGTCGTTTAAGTTATATTGAAGCTGGGTTGAGTTTCACATGTAACAACTCTGAAGCAAAATACTTTGTAGGGGGTGCTTCATAATAAGCAATAAGTCTTTTAAATTTATCAGAAAAGTTTTAAATATAATTAATTATTTTTTTAAAAATTTTTTTTATTTTAATGACAAAAAAATTATTTTAAATTAATTTTTTTTTGGAAATAATTTTTAAACAGATCCATTAAAGATGATCAAAATATTGTACTTGTTAATAAATTCAAATAAAAGTTATGATTAAAAAGAACTAACATATTTTATTATAAATAAAAAATTAATTTTAAATATTATCATTAAAAAAATAATAAAATTAACTTATTTAAAAAACACAAAAATGATTCTTAAAATTAAGTAACTAAAAAGAAAAAACAAAAAAATCCTTACTGCTAATTTTAATTAAAATTTATTGTTTTTGCAACTATATATATGATGTCTATAATATATAGCAAAAATTTCTATACTTAAACTAAACAGACAACTTCTCGGAACGTAGTTCCAGACTATTCTAAATTATAGAAGGAGCTTCTCGGTACATAATGCCAGAATACTCTATATTTATAGTTAGAACTTCTCGGAATTAATATACAAGTCAACTGTTATGATATCCTTTTTCTTTGAAATCTATTACATAATTTACTGTAAACCTATTTTCAAATCTTCTCAGAACGTAGTTTTAGACTACTCTTAAAAAGCTCTTAAGGAGCTTTTTAGAGCATGATGCCAGACTACTCTAAATTTATAGAGAGAACTTCTCGGAACTAATATATAACTCAACTGCCATGATGTCCTTTTTCTGTGAAATCTATTATATAACTTTCTGTAAATCTATTTTCAGTTTTTTTATTTTAAAATATTTATCTCTCCAAGAATTTCATTTCGACGATATTTAAACAAAAATTTATTACATAATTAATATGCAATTTTTTTATAAATATGTGTAAATGCAATTTATTACAAATATGAGAGATTTAGTCAAAAAATTCAACATTTCATCTTCCGGTAATAACTCACCACCCATGTTGCCTTGTAAGTAAATTCAACAAAACAATGAACCTCATTTCGAAAATGGCAAAACCAGTTATCTTATCAAAATGTTGCATTTATCCTGTTTTCTCAGTGCAATTTGTTCTTTAATTACTTCATGCTTTTGTTTATTTTACATTTATTTAACAAACAAATACTCTTAAATGCACTTACCATTTTCCTTAGTGTAACCCCAGTGATGGCTCATTTTAAAATATTTTTTTATACAATTTATAACAAATAACAACACAAAAAAAATTTATTTGATTATTTTTTTATTTTATAAAAAATTATATTTTTTTGTGATGCTTTTTTAAAAAATTTCCAAAAGATATAAAAATTTTAAGATTTTATTTTCAGAAAATTTTTTTTATTAGGAAAATATTTAATAAATTTTATATCAACAACAAAATTTGACAATTTTTTATGTACTCAAATGTTTTATATGTTTGTGTGTGTATGCGCCTGTTTTTGTATTTTTTTAAGTTTTGTTTATTATTAAATAAGAAAAATTTGTTTTTATTTACTTTTATTTTATTTTTTTTATATATAAGTTAACTTGCAAGCGTGCGTGTTTACGCTTAGGTTTTGATCAACTATAAATTATAGTTTTTTTTCTTATAAATTTTGAATTTTTAAATTAAATAAAAAACTTAACAAAAAATATTTAATTATTAAAACAGGCAAAATTAAAGAAAATACGAACGCGTCAAATATTGAAACGCAAGTAAACTATAAGCAACTGAGCTGCTTTCGAATGAACTCAACTAAACTGAACTGAACTGAACTGAAGTGAAGTGAACTGAACGGTTAGTCTGCTGAATGAAGACTGAACTGAATTGTTTAGCTGCGAAAGCATTTCAGAATAGCAGCACACCAACAATTACAAAAACAACAAACAAACTGCTGCTGCTACAACCCAACAACAACAACAACAACAACAACAGCAGCAACACTAACGGAAAGTACAATAATAACACTTGCTGCCTTGACTTGCGACGACTTAACTGAATATATGACCTGATGAGCTTTTAAAGTTGTTATGATTGGTGTAGTTGTTCTTGGTGCTGTTTATATTCCCATTATTGTTGTTGTAATGCTGTTGCTTCATTAAAGTAAAAAAAAATTGGAAACGTAAAAAAAACAAACATAAACAATAATAATGAAGTAGGGAGAGACCATTGATTGAACCGTCGTTAAATGCCGGGTTTTGTATTGTCCACATAGTATCAATTGTAGCAGGTCATGTAAGCGCGGTTGTTGTTGTTATAATACACTCACCCATTAAAGTAGTCGTACAAAGCGAGAATTTTTGGTGAAAGTTATATGTTTTTAAATTAGTTTTAAGAAGAGTTTATATTAGTTTTTAATTTAAATAATTTAATGTCATAAAATCTATATATTTTCATAAATGAAAATTTTTTAGAATGAAGTAAATTTTAATATATTCTAATTTGTTTTTATATAAACAAATTTTTAATTTTTATATAAACTGAATTAAATGTTGTCAAATTTTCATCAACATTATCCATTCGAAATAATGGAAAGATTAAAATCCATGCATAATTTTAAACTATTTATAATATGTTACCATAATAATTAAAATTATTTTTTTTTTGTTTTTTTTTGCATCTTCACTATCTCGTCATAATAGTAGTATGTCCGATTTGCATTTATCTCTGCAATTTATAAATATTTCAAGGAAAGATCCCTATGTAGGTTATGCATTGATAATTTTCTTCGTTAGCCTGCATTTAGGTCTTGCTTTGATTTATTTGTTTCCCCGTTTCTTATAATAATTATTGTTCGAGATCATATTCATTCGATTTGATTTGTTTATAAAGAATTGATATTCGGCGCTGTAGTTCTCTTCCTGCATCATCCTTTTTATTGCAAAACTTTGGATGTTTGTTTCACCGACTACTCTTTCAAGAAATTTTCTTTTAATGTTCCGTCTGTTGCATCTGAAGATGGTGTATGTTTATAGTTAAGATAATTGTGAAAGCAGCTGTTATAATTCTTAAAAAACAAAAAATTAATGAGTGGTGTATCAGAATTTAATAATTATTCGTTAGATATACAGTCGAGTAAACTATCAAGACAATACTTCCCTAAAAACCTATTTCTTCTGTAGACCAAAGCTAAGCATACACAGAAGAAACGCTTAATTGTTCTTTTTCTGTAGGTTTCCAGAACTTCTGCAGTTAGAATTAAAAAGAATGTGTAATTTCTTTACGTGTGTTCCTATACACCAGTGACCAGAGAGACTAATGTTTAAACATTAGTCAAAAAAGGGTATTATGCTTTTTTAACAATTAACCAATTAGCCCGTTCCAAAAAATAAAGTTACTAAAAAAAATACATAAAAATATAACAAAATATTAAATCAAAAATAAAAATCTATTTTTAAAATTAATAAATGTGTAGCAAAATATCAAATAAATTATTAAAAACTAATAAAATAAAAATATAAACTTATGTGATAATAAAAAAAGGATAGTAAATAATTAATGAAGAAAAAAAGTAAAAAGTAAATATTAAATAAATAATAAGTATCAGGCACATAGATAGAGAAGAGGATCGTGAGGGGCTGAATACCTAATCCTTTTATACATAACTTTTATATATATAAATATATATCATATAATATATTTATTACTAACAGATCATAACCATTTAATACGATAAATTGTTGTTTAATTATTCAAATTATTAAAATCCCAAAGTAAACGGGTCTGATGACTACAATAGTACTTTAATAAAATATAATTTATTTAAATATAAATAACATGTTATAGTTTTTAATTAAATGCCTAATTAGCCCGCTCAAAAATTATTATTAAATTATATAAGTATTAAATTGTAATATTTTAAATAATTTTATCAATTCCTAATATAGTTTATAGTTATATAATCGCTAAATCCCATTTTCATATTATAAAAAAAATTTTGCCATCCACAAGCTTAATATTGTATTTATTATATTACATCTACTACAATTACGCAAATTTTTTTGGATGTACTGGTAAATCTATATTATTTTATTTTTATGGTATAACAAATAAATGAATTTAAATTGATAAATTAATAAAACTAAATTTAATAATATAACAATATTTTTATTTTTGTCAAAAACAACTATAAACGTACATTGTGACCGAAAAGTTTTCGGAAATTCTCATTTAAAATTCGCGCGCTGTATATTTTTCGATATTTTAAGTTTATGTAGTTTGGCAGCACTGTCCTTAATTACTATGCCAAAAATGAGCGCGATCTGTCAGACAGTTCGTTTACGGCAGCTGTTGAAACCAGTTCACCTCAGTAGTGCGTTGCGAAAAAAACAATGGAAAAAAATATTGAACAAAGAGTTTGCATCAAATTTTGTTTTTCGAACGAAATTTCGTGTGCAGAATCGTTGCGAATGCTACAAAAGGCTTATGGGGAATCAGTTTTATCGAAAACTCAAGTTTATGAGTGGTACAAAGCCTTTCAGGACTGTCGTACGACCGTCGAAGACATGCCGCGTTCTGGACGACCTTCGACCTCTACCACCGACGAAAACATTGAAAAGGCAAAGGAAATCGTGTTCAAAAATCCTCATGTGAGTGTTAGAGAGATAGCACGAGAGCTAGGCATCGGTCGTGAGATGGCTCGTTTGATTTTGGTGGACAATTTGTGTATGCGACGTGTCAACGCCCGGCTTGTTCCGATTCACCTCAATTTGTTCAACATTATCAACGATTTTAAGGCCAAACATTCAATAAATACCATCGAACAGCCACCGTATTCACCTGATCTTGCACCGTGTGACTTTTTCCTGTTTCCCAACCTCAAATTACCACTCAGAGGAACGCGTTTTGAATCCATAGAAGACGTAAAACAGAATTCGCAGAGGGAACTCAAAGCCATACCGGAAAGCGCCTATAAAAAATGTTTTGATGATTGGAAGAAACGTTGGCATTTGTGTATCGCTTCTAATGGAGCATATTTTGAAGGAGATAAAATAAATATTGATGAAGATTAAGAATTTTGCGTTTTATTTAAAACGCAAAGGAAACTTTTCGGTCACAATGTATGTATTGGTTTCTGCGGCCTCACAATTTATATAGGGATTTGTTTTAGCCCGCAATCGCACATGGTAATAAAATTTTGTTGTTGGAATTTGCTACTGTTCGAAAACGTCTCTATTAAATCTATAATTTTATAATTTAAAATGTACACTAAAGATAGTTTACGAAATAGTCCGCATTTTAGTATAAAAAGTATATTTTCTTGAAAATATATTTAAAATTTTAAGAGGTTTTTTGAACAGTAGTAAACTACAACAACAAACAATTTTTCATATATTATTTTATATTATATATATTATTTCATATATTATTTAAATTATTTATGTATTATTTTAATTTTTTATATTATTTTAATAAATTAAATTATTGGCTGACCATACAGATGTTTCGAGTATTGCCAAATACCCATCATCAGTGGCCTTGGAAATGATTCTTATATTTAATTATTCGTAAATAAATTTTTCGTGACTGCAAGTACCAGGAATCTACCTCATGTCCTGCCAAATTTGAAGCTCAGAGTCAGCGTTCATTAACCAACTAACCCAAAACCGTACTTGACTTTTATGTTCTCAAATTTTTGGGTTACTTTGTTTTGTTTTTAACAAATTCACTTGCTGTGTTTATATTAGAACGAAACCATAAACCAGCTTTAGAATAATTGAATTAATTAATTATATTTTTATTTATATAATTGTTAAATTTCAATACTATTCTGTTTGTAGAGGCATTATTTATTCCACGATTTATATATTATTTCTTATGAGTAGAGCCTAAACTAAGAACGTAATACTTAGTAAGTTTTACTTATCAACAATTTAAGTGTTAAATAATGGACCTCAAGCAAAGTTAAATCAAATTTTATTAAATTAATGAAAAATGTAGTAAATATGTGTATCATTACTTTTGTTTGCCACTGTCTTGAATTGTTGTTGTACCATTAAATTTTTGAAATTTCATTTTTTTGCGTTTTGTTTTGTTTTGTTTTTTAATTTAAATATTATATGTTTAAGCTTAAAACAGTAGCGACGATGCCAATTTGTTGTTCTATCACTTTCACACTATTAAACATTGCTTTTGTTTTAACTTGTGCTCAGTTGTTGTTATTGTCAATGTATTATTGCCTGTTGTGTTTGTTGTTTCTGTTGTTTTTGTTTAGTTGTTTAGTTGTTGGTTCGCATGTGCATGTGATTGAGGGTAGCTGCAGAA